ATTATGGCTCGTTAATATTGTAAAATATAATGAAGTATATAAAAAAGTAAAACCATTAATGGACAAATTACAGGAAGCTACCAATAATAAAAACAAAGCACAAGAAAAATTGGATCAACTAGAAAATAAAGTGAAAGAGTTAACAGACAGCGTAGAGAAATTAAGAAGAAAAATGAATGAAGTAAATGAAGAAAAAAATAATGTAATTAAAATATATAACGAATCAAAGGATAAATTAAACAGAGCTGAAAATTTAGTCAATATGCTATCTGATGAATATTCTAGATGGTCTGACGAAATATCTATTATCAATTCCAATAAAAAATATATATATGGTGATTGTTTATTATTATCCTCTTTCATTACATATCTAGGAGTATTTTCTAGCTCTTTTAGAATAAATCTATGGAAAAACTTATGGTTAGAACATATAAAAAATAGCAACATTTTAATTAATAATATTACTTCTCCAATTGATATAATGGTTCAGGATATACAAATTGCAACATGGAAAAATGAAAAACTACCAGAAGATAAAATAAGCATAGAAAATGCACTAATTGTAAGTACTTGCTATAGATGGCCACTTTTAATTGATCCTCAATTACAAGGATTAAAATGGTTAAAAGTGAAAGGGGGTAATAACATTACCTGCTTACAATTTAATTGCGAAAATTTTATTAAAAAAATTAAGAATGTTATTTTGAAAGGGGGATATTTAATAATTGAAAATATTAATGAAGAAATTGATAATGTTATTGATGGTTTATTAAACAGAGAATTTATTAAAAAAGGGAATGATACATTTATCAAAATAGATAATGAAGAAATGCCATTTAATTTTCCAAACGCTATAAGTAGAATCTCTAAAATTAAATCTTTTTTTGAAAATAATACTAATAATAATTCTAGTAATAAAAATAACACTCTTGAAAACCAGAATAACTTTTGTAATGAATTAGATATGAATAAAAATTACGTAAAAAATACTTCCCAAAATATTAATAAAGCATTTTCAAATGAAAATTTAGCTAAAGTTAATTTTTTTAATCTTATTTTGCAAACTAAACTAAGTAATCCTCATTTCAAACCCGAAGTTAATAGTCAATGTACTTTAATAAATTTTAGTGTAACATGTGAAGGTTTAGAAGAACAAATATTAGCTATTATTGTAAATATAGAAAAACCAGAATTAGAAAAACAAAAACAAATTTTAGTTAAAAATAGAAATGAGTATAAAATAATACTAAATAATTTAGAAGATGAAATTTTATATCAGTTATCGACTGTTGATTCAACAACGATAATTGACAACATTTCCTTGATTAATAGTTTAAAAACTACAAAGGACACATCTATTAACATACAAAGACAAGTTGCAGATTCAATTAAAACAGAAAGTGAAATAAATAAAACAAGAGAATTATATAGAACTCTTGCTAATGAAGCTTCTATTGTTTATTTCATTCTAATTCTTATGCATAACATTAACTACATGTATCAGTATTCATTAGATTCTTTTATTAATTTATTGCTAAAATCTATTGAAGCTGTTCACAATTCTAATAATGAAAAAACTAATAGTAATACTAATAACAAAACAGATGTTTTTAATAATAGTGATGTAACTTTGGAAAAACAGAACAATTATTACGATTCAAAAATATATTTTAATAATAATCTTGAAGATGATAAATCTAACAATGAAGAGAATAATGTTTATGATGATCATATAAGTAAATTAATCATTTCTTTTAGAAAAACAATATATTCATGGATTAACAGAGGATTGTTAGAAAAAGATAAATTATTGTTTAACTGTATATTTGTTTTTAAACTATTAGAAAAAAAAAAAATTTATGATAAAGATTTTAATATGGATTATCTCAACTTTTTTTTAAAACCCCCAAGAAGTGAAAATGTAAGTGAAAACCCTTTAAAGGAATGGTTAAGTAATGACTGCTGGGAAAACATTTTATTATTATCAAAGTTTAAAGAATTTGAAAATTTATCAACTAATATTCACATAGACGCCCAACATAAATTTAAACAATGGTGCTCTGAAATCCAGCCGGAAATATGTAAATTACCATTAGAATGGAAAAAATTAAATAATTATTCTTTTAAAAAATTACTAATTATCAGATGTTTACGACCAGATAGAATTACAGTTACTTTAGAAAATTATATTAAGAATATATTACCAAACAGTGAAGAAATTATGGAAAAAAATAATTCTTTTGTTGATACTTTAGAATCCTCTTACAATTTTATGGTAAACTCTACACCTATATTGTTTATTTTAACCCCTGGTTCTGATTTTATAAAATATGTAGAATTATTAGGAAAAAAATATAAGTTTTATTTAAATAACAATTTACATGTTGTATCACTAGGACAAGGACAAGAATCAATAGCTTTGTCAAAATTAGAATTATCTCATAAAGAAGGTCATTGGATAGTTTTAGAAAATATACATTTAATGGCTAAATTCAATTTAATATTAGAAAATGTAATAGATAAATATTCAACTGAAGGGTCTCATCCTAATTTTAGGTGCTTTTTAACTTCAGAAGTAACAACAAACATTCCTATTAGTATATTAGAAAGATCTATAAAGTTAACAAATGAAGCTCCAACCGGTTTTAAAGAAAACTTAAAAAGAGCTTTCACTTTTTTTTCTCCTGATGATTATGAGGAAAAAGATTTAAGAACAAAAAACATTTTATTTTCATTATGTTATTTTCATTCCATAATAGTTGAAAGAGCAAAATTTGGTGCAGAAGGATTTAACATAAAATATCCATTTAGTCTAAGCGATCTAAGAGACAGTGCAAAAGTTTTATTTAATTATTTAGATAACCAAAATTCTATAAAAGTTCCGTGGAATGATTTAAAATATATTTTTGGAGAAATTATGTATGGTGGTCATATTGTTAATGATAAAGATATGCTAATTTGTAAAACTTATTTAAATTATTTTATGAAAGAACAATCATTAGAAGGGATGCAATTAATTCCATTTTCTAAAAATATACAATTATTTAGCCCTAATAATTATTCGTATGACAAAATTTTAAAATATATTGATACTCAAATTGTATTTGAATCATCCATTTTATATGGATTAAATCAACATGCGGAAATGAATTTTAGAACAAATGAAAGCATAAAATTATTAAAAAATATATTAAAATTAAAACTTAAAGAAACATATACTTTTGTTGAAGAACTAACAACTGGAGAAACTATGGAGAATAAAACATCCAATATTTTATCTGAAATATTAAGTGAAATAGATAGTGTTTTTTTTAATGTAGAAGAGTTAATGAAATCAATACCAGATGATCAAATTACACCTTTGCAATATTTTTTATTTCAGGAATGTACCTTAATGAATTCTTTAACAAGTATTATGAAAAATTCATTAAAAGAGTTAAGTTTAGCAATTAAAGGGGAAATTAATATGACCAGTAAGATAGAATCTCTTATGAACTCTTTATATAAAAATAAATTACCAGAAATATGGAAAAATAACTCATATTCTAGCAATAGAAATTTATCATCATGGATAAATAATTTGAAAGAAAGAATAAGTTTTTTGACTGATTGGTTTAATGATCCCTTATTAACACCGAAAGTTTTTAATATATCTTTATTATTTAATCCAAATAGTTTTTTTAGTGCAATAAAGCAAATATTATCTAGAAATGAAAAATGTGAATTAGATAAAATTATAATGCAAATTGAAGTGACTAATAAAACGTTGAATAATATTTCTTCTTATCCTAAAGAAGGTGCTTATATATATGGTTTATATTTAGATGGTGCTAATTATGATGTAGAAAAAAATACTCTATGTGATTCTTCTTCAAAACAAAAATACTTTTTAATGCCAGTTATACATTGTAAACCAATAGTTAGTATGGGTAAAAAAGATACAGATGTGTACGAATGTCCTGTATACAAGACATTATCAAGAGGTAATACATATGTAACAAATATAAAATTAAAAACAAAAGATAGTCCAGATAAATGGATTTTAGCAGGTGTTGCATTAATTCTCGATATTGCTGATGATTAAAAACATTTAAAAATTTTCTTTTGTTTTTTTTTTATATAAAAGGAAGAATTTCTTTTTTATTATAAAATATATATATATATATTTACAAACTTTATATAATCAACAAAATATTACTGAAATGGAAAGAAAAAAAAATTTTTATTTTTCACATCAGCTTTCTTTCATATAAATTAAGTTCATTTTTTTATGATGTTTTAAGTATTTAAAGCATAAAAGTATATAATTTTCATATTATTTTTCCTTAATTCTTCATAAATTTTTTCTATTTTATAAATATATTTCACATATTTTTTTTTTTTATATTTTTAATGAATTGTAGAAAAAAATCTTTAAATTACTGTTAATTATAATAAAAGAAAAAATTATTACAAAAAAAAAAAATAAAATAAAATAAAATAAAATAATACATTTAAAATAACATGTAACTTCATTTATATTTAGAAATGAATAAAAATTAAGAGAGAAAAAAATGATAATTTTTTCATAATTGCCAATTAAAAATATTTAGTTTTCATTCTTATTGTTATCTTTAATTTTTTTTTTTTTTTTTTTTTTTTTATGTATATATTGCTTAAGAATAAAATCAAACTTTCATTTTAATTCAAGATAAAAAAAAATAACACAATTTTTATTCATAAGCTAGCTACATTTTTTTTTTTTTTTTTAATTATAAATTTATATAAAAATAAGAAGCATATATGAAAAAATTCTGTTAAAAAATTTGTTTCATTTACATGTAAGGTTATTTTCTTGTCTTTCTTTATTTTTCTTTTTTGATCACATATTTTTAGTATAATTTAAAAAAAAAGAAATATTCTTAATACATGTTATAAAAATTAATAAGGTGTATTTTAAAAATTTTTATTAAAATATATATATATATATATATGCATTTATAAAGAATTATTATATTAAAATGGAAGACTTGGAAATAAAGCAGGCATTATTTAAAAAAGAGAATGAACAAAATAATGAAAAATGTGAATTTTGTAAAACAAGATATAGAAAATTCATAAATAAATTTTTATCTTGGGAAATAGTTTTATTATTAACCCATATTTTGGTTTTCTTAATAATAATTTATAAACTAATTATGGACAAAAAATTAAGATCCTCCAATAATAAACTTTTTAGGTCATTTAATAGTATAGGACATTTTACACAGGGATTTCTGTTTGTAGTACTATTAGTTCCATTTAAATTTACAAAGAAAATTACAAAATTTCTAATTAATACTTCTGAAAAAAAGGATATCCAGGAAAATGTTATGAGAAGAAATGTTGATATTGAAAACAGTAATAAATCGATTAATATCACAGAAGAAAAAGAGATAAAATTTGATTCTAATGAAGAAGCTAATTCAATAACGAATAACGAAAACCTCATTGATAAAAATAAAGATGATGAATTAACTGAATATCTTTCAGATGAAAATAAATTAGAAAAAAAAATATCATTAGAAGAAAACAGTACACAGGAGAAAAAAAAAAGAGTCTATTTTAACGAAAACATTTCAGTTAAAGAAGGTTATATAAATAATGATAAAATAAATAAAAATACAGAAAATTCTGTATGTGACTCATTTGTTAATAAACTAGTTTTTTGTGACAATGTACCAAACTATAAAAAAAAAGAAATTGAATATTTTTTTTTATGTGCAAAATTATTTTCATCAAACAAGAGTTACATTTTATTTGTAATAAAGTATGTAACTTCCTTCATATTGATGTTTGCATATCCTTTATATAATTTAATCAAGAGAAAAATCCTTTATAAATATTTTTATTTTTCATCCTATTATATTAATTTATATGACTTTGCATCAGGGTTATCAGTAGGAAGTTCATTAGTTTTAATTTATGGACTTACAAAATTTTTCATTAGCTATTTTGTTAAGAGCAAAAAAGGCGAAACTTTTAAGTTTTATGATAATTATGCTTTTGTAAATGATATAAACTGCTTATGCGATGAAAATATAAAGATAAATGTAAAAAATAATCCATATTTAAAAAATATCACTATGAATTATTTTAATTCATATCACAATTATAAAAATCTTCTTTTTGCTGGACTAATAATATTATCGATCATATGTATTTTTTCTTTTGGTTTTTCATTTATCTCTCTTAACACTTATAAGTTAAGCATAAAATAATGTTATAATTTTCTTTTTCAACTTTTTTCATTTTTTAATTTATATAATTTTTGGTATTTTTTTTAATTTGAGCTAAATGTACTTTCAATTATAGTATAAAAAATTATATTTTTTTTCATAAAATTCTTTTTTTTGTTTGCATTTGATTTTCCATGTTTTTGTTCTATTATTTAAAAAATATATTAAAATGCTTTGAATAAAAAAAAAAATATAAAAAAAACTACAAGAAAAGTCTTTTTATTTTAATTAAATATTTCATGTTTTTGTTTTTAAGTATTTCAAAAGGAAATCCTTTATTACTGTTTTTAATTTTTTTAATTTGTAATATTAACATATTTTTTATATTAATAAAAAAATTAAAATAATTTAAAAATTAAAAAAAATAACAAAAAATCTAAAATTATAAATATATATTTTTAACTTCATTAAGTTCATACATGTGCATAAACATTAGCAAATTTTTTTTTGAAAATAAAAAAAATATATATTGCATATATTTAAATTTTATTATTTTTATAAATATTAACTTTAAAAGTAATAAAAAAAATTTTTTTTTTTCAGATGAAATACATTATGTAAAAATTTTCTTTAAACCTTAAATTATTATATGTAATTCAGTAATTACATTAAAAAAACTTGATAAAAAAAGTAATAAAATTTCTTTAAATATACATATAATATTTTTTTGTTTTAACAAAGCAAAAAATAAAGTTCCTCTTAGAACTAATTTTTTAACAAGAAAACAATTAAAAGAATATGTAGATTACATTAATGATAATAATATAAAAGAAAAAATACATATAAAATAAAATAGAAAATATATACAATAAAAGTAAAATTTAACTGAAGAAAATAAAAATAAAAAAGTTAAGAAAAATAGTATAGATATTTTTTTAAAAATAATTGAAATAAATCTATAAAAATAATAAAGTAAAATAAAATAAAATGAGTTGGGGACAATGGTGGCCTCACGATCCGGTAGTAAAAACGGATTTAGTTGATCCTTACCTTGTTAAAGTAGAAAAAAAAAAGGTACAATAAAATATAGTAAGAAAAAATTAACTGATATATAAGCATAGTTAGGATTAATGTATGAGCATATATAAATATACATATATACATATATTTACATATAAATTACTATTTTGATCTAAAAATGTATTAAAATAAAAAGATTGTTAATAATTTTTTTAATAAAACGAAAAACATAGGTTTATTGGTATTGTACTTGCGGTACTAGTAAAATTCAACCATGGTGCGATGGATCACATAAAGGAACAGGTAAAATAATGAAAATCGAATTGTCTATATATGAGTATATGTGATTACATTTTTTCCTTATATGTTACTATATTTCTTTTTAATGTGAATTTTTATGAAGGATTTAAGCCATTAATGTATATTCCTCAATCTAGTGGGTATAGACTTTTATGTGGATGCAAACAAAGCTTACATAAACCACACTACGATTTTACTGACTTATGGGTAAATAAAAAAATATAAGAAAAATATTTTAAAAAAAAACATTTTTTTTTAAAATATTTTAGCATTTACAAATTTTTCAAACAATGAATTTTTTACTGTTACTAAAAAAAAATAAAAGTATTTTCTTTGAAAAATATATAATTTTTTTCTTTTTAAATTTTAAGGTTCGAGCAAATAGAAATGTTCCTAAAGCTGCTTTATTTACATATGTTGCACTTTTTTCGTTTGGTATTATGACAACATGGTTATTTCATCCATAAAAACAAAAATAAGAAATATTATTTTTTTTGATTAAATTTGGTTTAAATTTTTATTTTTCTTCTTTTTTATTTTTTGTACCTTTTTTTTTTATCTTTTAATTTTTTCTTTCTCTTTTTCTTTTTTTTTTTTTTTATATATTAACTCATTAAAATGAATCAGTATCATTTTTTATTTTAAGTTTAAATTTTCCTAATCTGTTTATTATGAATAAAAACTAAAGATATATCTAAGATATAATGAACATATACAATTTTTTTTTTTTTGTAATACCTTTTAAAATAACAGGATTTCATTATTATATAATGAATTTTAGGTTCCGCGTTTTTAACAAAAAAAAATAAAAAAAATTAAAATTTAAAAAAAAAAAATAAAAAAAAATTTTTTAATTTATATTGTTAATATTTCTAATTAGTATTATAGCTTTTTTTTTTTTTTTTTTTTCAATTTGGTGGATCTTGCCACTTGTTATGCTTTTTAATTAGTTCTATTAATTTATCACAAGCTTCTTCTTCAGGTATATTTCTTTCTACTAATTCCTTACCATAATACAAATCAATTTTTTTAGGTGCACTTCCGACATAACCAAAATGTGCATCTGCCATTTCCCCTATACCATTTACAATACAACCCATAATTGCAATTTTTACCCCTTTTAAGTGTCCTGTTAGTTTCATAATTTTTTTAGTTGTCTCTTGTATATTAAATAATGTTCTTCCACAGGAAGGGCAAGCTATATAATCTGTTTTAAATAACCGAATACGAGTATCTTGTAAAATATTTAAAGTTAAAAATGAGTTTAAAGCAACACGACTCAAATTTTTATGATGGTCTTCTTTTTGTTTAAAATCACTGTTAGTTACATTTATAATTAATCCATCCCCCATTAAATCGATTAAGCAACTTCCCGCATATAATGTTGCATTAACTAATATATTATCATAATTAGTAGAATTAATATCAACATAATGTATAAGTGGTATTTTTATACTTAAAGAATGTAGTATTTCATTTATTCTTCTTGTAATTAATACATGTTCATATATACTATCCGATTTTAAGAGAATAAATAATGGAGGTGGATTTAATTTTTTTATTTTTTCTATCATTTCAATATCTTCTTTTCCATTTAAAATTAATGCATATCCTTTTATATTATTTATTTCAACTTTTTTATTATTTTCTAAAAGATTCATTATATTTCCTATGTCAGTATATAATAAGATGTTATTACCTTTAAATTTTTGAATAATATCAATATTATTTTGGTGATATTCTACCAATACATATAATCCTGCTTCCATTAATTTTTCAATCGTTTTTTTTGATAAATTTGTTATGGTTTCAAATTTATTTACAATAATTATATCACTAGTTTTAGCTCCTTTCTTTAAATTCCCATTTTTATCCACCTCTAGATTTAAGTCTTTGAATATTTGCAGGGAATCTTCCAATTCTTTTACTGTAACTACGTTACCTACAGTACAGTCCTCATGTAATATATTATCACTTTTTTCTACTTTTCTTTTTACTATATTATTAAAATTTCTGAAATTTTCTTCAAAATTTAAGAGATTTTTCATATTATATATATTAGTTGGGACTTCTTTATCGTAACTACTTTCTTCATTTCTTATTATTTTCTCTTTTTCATTATTATGACTCTGATTCTTGATTATATTATTATCAAAGCCGTTTAAATCAACTACATTTTTTTTGATGATATTATTACTTTCATTTAGTTTTTCATTATTTTTTTCACTTGTAATTGTGTTATCATCTATCTTCTCAGTATAAAATATTCTTTTTTTAAAATTTTCAATTAATTTTTTACAAGGAATTAGTTCTTCCCATGGATCTTCTGTCAATGATATTCTGATAGTATCTCCTATTCCATCGTATAATAATGATCCTATTCCTAAATAAGACTTTATTCTTCCATTGTCTCCAAATCCAGCTTCTGTTACTCCTAAATGTATGGGAAAAAGTATATTTTTTTCATACTGTTTAGCTGCTAATAATCTATATGAATGTATCATTACGTAAGCATTAGATGCTTTCATAGAAAAAACTACATTATAAAAATTATTTTCAATGCATAAATCTGAAAATTCAAAAGCAGATTCAACCATTCCTAATGGAGTATCACCATAATAGGAAAGCATTCGAGCTGATAAAGAACCATGGTTGGTACCTATTCTTATTGCTCTATTTAATCTTTTGCATTTTTCAATTAATGGTACAAATTTTTCTTTTATAAATAATTTACCTTCATCAAATTCTTCTTTTGTTTTATAAATTTTATTTATCCATTTTTTTCTTCCATCTACATAATTTCCAGGGTTAATTCTAATTTTTTCAAATACATCCGCTGCCATTAAGGCAATTTTAGGGTTAAAATGGATATCAGCTACTAGAGGAATTGTAATATTTTCAGATAGTAATTTTTCTTTAATATAATAACTTGCTTCTGCTTCTTGAACACCTTGAACTGTTAGTCTTACAATATCAGCTCCTAAATCTCTACATTTTTTAATTTGATAGACACATTCTTCTACATTTCTCGTGTCACAGCTAGTCATGGTTTGAATAGCTATTCTATTATTGCCACCAATTTTAACATTTCCAATTGCAACTTCCCTTGTTGGCAACCTCTTAAATTTTTTAGTACATTCACAATATTTTTTTATATTTTTTATTAAATTATACTTTTCTTCATCAGTTGTATTTATTTCGCTATTCTTTTCATAATGATTTTCATTATTTGTTAATGAACTTAAGAAATTACTTTTTTTCTTTATTTCTTTTTTTATAATATAGCTTCTTTTTTTTCTAAAATTTTTTTCTTTTTCTGCATTTAACAAAAAAAGAAAAAAATTATTATTGACACACTTTTTTGCCTTAACAAATATATGTATATTATAAAATTTACTAACAAAATTTTCTATTTTTACAAAAAAACAAAATGTTATTATAAAAAGAATTAATCTTTTTACAGAACACATTTTTATTTTGTTATGAGAGCATTATGAAAAAAAAGTAATATACATTTAATGCAGTGTTTACATCTAAATTGAAAAATACCAAAATATATTCTGTATTTTTATGATTACATTAAAGAAAATATTTTATATTAATTTATATTTTTTTTTTTTTTTCCTTTGAACAATTTATTTATCCACTGTTAACTTTAATTATTCAATAAAGTTATCATTCATTTTAATTTTTTTTCCATTAAATTACTAACAATTGTTTTTATATTTTTTTCGAAACTTTAAACACATATCCACTTACGATTTATACATATTTTCGTAAAGATTTAATTAAAAAAAAAAAGTCCTTTAAACTTTTTGATTATATAGAATTCTTTATAAAAGAACTACAACTCCTTAAATATTAACAAAATCTATAAAATAACAATTTATTTGTAATAAAAGTTTTTTATATAATATATATAAATATATATATATATATATATATATTTTTAATTTCAATAAAATATTTAAATTCAAGTATTACAAATAAATTATGTATTAGTAAAGATTGAAATAAAATCAATATTAAATATTTAATTAAATTCAGATTTTATTTAAAAAAAAATTAATAAAATTGAAGCATAGTAAAATGAAATAATATAATTTTTTTTAAAATCATTTACATAAAAATTATAATAATTCTTTCACAAAACACTATGATATTATAAAAAAAAAAATTATAATGAAATTATAATTAAGCCTTTTAGAAATATCTTACTATTATTTAACCGTATTCATATATACATAAATAGTATTTATGCACATCATATTATTTGTATTTTATTACAATTTCTTGGAATATTTGAAGTATATAACTCTTAATTCATATTATTAGTAATGCACTATACTGTTGTCACTTTTAATTTTAAATCTTAAATTTGAGCAAATCCTTTAAGTTTAAGCAGTTATCAAAATTTTCATTTCTTAATTTTATTTGATCCTTAAATTTTGTTCACATTTTCTTTTAAATTAGCCCATTCGTTTTCTTATGTTTAAATATGCTTATGTTTAGTTTTTTTTTGTTTCCTTTAGGAACACTACTTTTGCTGTAAAACCAAACTTCATTATCTTATATAAAAAAATAAAGAGTTTATCTTTTTAATAAAGAAAACCTTGTTTAAATGAAAAAATATAATAAAGGAAAAAAGTATTTTAGATATTAAGTTTATAATTGCTTGTAATAAACCACAAACATTTGTTTATTTTATATTACTAATTTTCATAAAATACATACTAATTTTTTTAAAAATATACATGAAATATTAGATAAATATTAAAATAATTCCTTTATATAAATATGTATACAAGTTTTTCTAATATAACAAAAATATAGACGTATAGTTTTACTTAGATATACATTAATTCATAGTAACATGTTTCATTCATAAGTATAGAAAATTAGAAAAATCATTAATTATGACGCGTTAAAAAACAGACATCTATAAATACTTATCAACAAACTAATATATTTTTTAACAATTTATTTTTGATAAAAAAAGTGTAAGAAACTTTAAACTATTTAAAAGAAAAATGGAATTATTTTTTTTTCTTTCATTCTTTTATAGTAATTTAAAATAATCATTTAAAGATTAAAATTCTTCTGTAAATTAAGTTTACATATATTTTACATTATAGTTCTATATTTTTTTTAAATTTAATAACTTAGTGAGTTATAAAAAATTTATTTTTAATAATGAATATAAAAATTTGCGTGTATCATTTAATTTTATTATTAATATAAAAAATATATTTATTTTGTCTAAAAAATTAGTAAAATAATATGTTTCAAACAAAAAACATTATCAATAAAATAAAGTTTTAACTCAGATACTAATTCCCTTTGAATGATTCAAAAATAAGATACATGTTTTATAAAAATTAAAATGTAAAAAAAAATTTCTTTTTATTATTTAACCAATAAGGTATGTAAAAAGTGAATAAAAATAAATTAAAAATTTCAGAAATTCTCAAATATGTTTAAATGTATTACAAAATTTTTCATTTTACTAACATAAAATCTTATTAAGAACTTTTAAAAAAATGTTTTATAATATGATGGTAAATATAAAATAAAAAAAGAAAATGACAAACCACAACTTCGCAGAAATTCCTTTTGTGAAAATGCACACACATTTGTATCTTATTAACCTCAATAAAATTTAATATAAATGGAAAAACATTTGAATATTTAAAAGAATGTGGATAAGCAAACTTAAAATGTCTATTCTACTTCTTAAATACAAAGTTATAATTGTTTTAAATTTCATTTATTTTTAAAATTTCTTTTTTGAAGAGAATAAATAAATTATTAAATATGGACAGTGAGTAAAAATAAAAAATTAAGTTTTTAATACGCATTATTTTTCCAATGGCTACAAAATTCACTACGAGATATGTTTTATATCAATTTAATATTAATATAAAAAAAAGATAAATTGTTTTATATATAATTTTTAAATAAAATTAAAAAATTTCAATTCATTTATAATTTCAATAAAAGTTAATAACGTGAAAATATATATTATACATATGTAAATACATGCGTATAAAAAGTATAATTACAAAAAAATAAATTTTAATTTTATAAAGTTACAATACATTAGTTACATGAAAATTCTCACTTTTATTAATCATTTTGAAAATTAAATATTACATTTAACACAAAAAATTTAAGAAAATATTTAAACTTTATTTTTTTATTGTTCATTGACAAATGTGCATATAAACTTTTTTTAATGTAAAACCCTGGTTGAAAGGAATTATTTTTCATGTTAGAAAACTTTTTTTAAATTTTATTATAAGTATTATTAAAAAACATTTAAAATTTAATATTATAAATTTTTATATTTATATGCAAAAAATATGCAGCTTTGAAAAGTATTGAAAACTGTTAAAAGAAAAGATCAAAGACATCATTTAATATTGTGCCTACATATATATAATATAGATGAAATGGATCACTCAATGAATATGCCCGTAAATCAAACTATTTATGGAAATAATATGATAAATAAAGTGGCAGATAACCAATTTAATCAACCCAATACGAATAATAATTACCAAAACCCCAATATGAATAATCTTAATCATGTTAATCCAATGCCACCACCCCAACAACAAATGCACATGTTTTCTAATGACTGGAAAAGTGTTATAGCATCAATAAAAAGTTGCAAAATTCAGCAAGTATTTAACAATAAAGAATTTGTAGCAGATTTTTTTATTGGTATTAATTTAGATTTTAGCAACAAATACCTAATTTTAGATGCATCAAATAATGTTACAAAATTTGTTGCCATTGAAAATTCTCATTTCGCTAATAGAAACTGTTTACCAAAAATTTGTATTCCAGTAGAAATGAAAATATTAAGACAAGGAAAAGAATTAAATATGCCTGATCTTTTAGTAGAAAAAGATTGTTCATGTACAATATGCTGTTTAAACAGACCAACTATAAAAATGTATGATTTTTCAAATAATAATAATAAAGAACTAATTGGTATAATAAAATCTCCTTTTAGTTGTTGTTCTTATAAATTTGATTTATTTGATACATCTAATAATAAAATAATATATATGGATGATACATGTTGTCAGTTAAGTATTTTATGCCCATTACCTTGCGGTGCATGTAAGTATAGTAATTTTTATTTACATGATGCAAAAACCAAAGAGAAAGTTGCACATTTAATAAAAGAAGTACCATTTTTACAACTTGTAAAAAAAGATATTGATAATTATGTAATGAACTTTGAACAAGTTGTTAACCCTGAATGGAAAATGATGGTTTTAGCTTTTGCTCTATTTTTAGATTATATATATTATGATTATAAAAAATAAATTTACTAAAAAAAAATGAAAAGAAAAATATCAAAAAAAAAAATTAAAATAAAATAATAATATTATTTGTAAGTTCTATGTATTTTGAAAATTCCATATACGATCTTAGTATAAACAAACATTTTGATTTTTTTTTTTTTTTTTTTTTTAATTTAATAAATATGATTATGCATAATATGATTATTTTTTTTTCTAAAATTCTTTTATTTTTAGACTGAAGTAAACATATTAATATTTTTTTTAATATATGCTATTTTATTATCTAAAAAATTTTTCTTAAAACAACATAAAATATGCCAATTAATAAACAAAATAAAACAAAAATTTAACAAAATTTTAATTAATTTTTAAGAAATGAAATGATATTTGAAAAGTTTAAAATTTGCATTAAAATTAGAAAAAATAAAACAAAACAAAAATAAAAACAAATTCTACGAATGTTTATAAGTCAAAATATATGGTAAAAATTTAAAAATTTATATTAACAAAATTAGAAAAAATAAAGTAAAATAAAAATTTTTAAATTTTAAATTAATATAAATATATATAAAAAAAAAATACAAAAAACTAAAAATTTATAGCAAAACATATGAAAAAACTTAAAATAATTCATAAGAAATGTATAATATATAAATAATTAATCAGATGTTTCTTCCTCACTTATGTTATCTTCAATCATATTTTTTTCATATTCTTCTGCATACAATAACTCCTTATATTTTTGAATTTTATTATAATATTTTTTTAGAAGCACATATTTCTTTTCACACAAAATAAAAGCATCTTTTCTACTTTGCTTTGTTTCGTTTATTATATTAAGCTGTTTTAACCAATGATCTTTTGTTCTTAAAAAAAATTCATTTAAATTTTCATTTGCATCAAAACCTAATCCACTGTCTTCTACTTTTATAATATTTTCTATTTTTTTAATCTTACTACAAATTATTATATCTTCAATTTCTTTTTCATCTTTATTTTCGTCATCTATTGATAGAGAGGAACTCAAATCAGATTCTTCAACATAAATATCATCTAAATTACCTTTATCTATTAATTCCCACTTTTCTCTTTTAAATATATTGATTTTCCAATAGTCATTAAGCATAATTTCATTATTCTTATATTCATACATGCCACCATATAAATATAAATTTTTGTTTATTATGAATATATGACTATTTATTCTTCCTATTGGTTCAATATCATTTATCACAATTTTCTTTTTTTTATAGCTTTTATTACTCTCTAAATCTGAATTACTTAAGTCATTTATAATTTCATTATTATATTCATCCTTAATTTTTTCATTTACACTTTTACTATAGCTAATATTAAAAAATTCATCTAAATCCTTTGAGCTTTCTGGCTCTTTTGAATTATTTACATATTTCAAACCATTAACATCACTTAAATCCTTAATATTGCTATTTTCATTTGAACATTTGGGTTCCTTTTCTTCAATGAAAACAGAATGACTATCAACTATATTATCCATTACTATATTATTTTCCTTAATCATTTGTTTATCCATTTCGTTTTCCACAGAATCAACATATTCTTTTTTCTCATTAAAATTCATATTACTTATTTCATCTTTCTCTATTTTCATAGTTTTTTTATTCCCGTTTTCATCAAAGTAAACAAAAACATTAGAATAATACTCTTCATTATCATCATCATTCAAATAATTTGAATCATAATTCTCAGAATGATCTTTGTATTCAGACTTAACTATTTTATTTTCTGAAAAACTTGATTCTTTCTCACTCGATGAATGTTTGTTGATATTAATTTCATGTGATTTGTTTTCCTCTGATTCGTTTTTCTTATTTTCCTTGCTATTTATATTTAAATTTTTTGTTTCTTTATTTTTTAAACTTAAATAAGACCAATGTTCCTTATTCATATCAAATAAATATATATCATTAAAAAAAATAGATTCCATGTTCAATGATTCCTCTTTTGTATTACTGTTTTTTTCATTGTTATGTTCAAATTTATCAAAAACACCCCCAAATAAAATTAAAAAATTCTTATAAGTACATGTGCTAAAACCAATTCTTTTAGATGGCTGGAAAATGCTTTTTTTTAATTTTTTATATTTTACAGAAATGTTATCTTCATTTATATAGTTTATATTTAAAACCCAAAGATCATTGTAATAAGCTCCAATAGAGTTTCTAGAGGTATTTTTTACTTGAGAATAACCTCCATATATATATATTTTTTGAAATTTCGTATCTGTGAATAAACATACACTAGACCTTTTAGATGGCATATGGGAATCTAAATCAAAATTTTTTAAAAATTTAGCTTTTATCATTTGATAATTTTTATCATTAGTTTTTTTTTCGCTTTTTACTGATAATGAGTCATCATTATTATTATTATTACTACTGTTATTTTCAGTTAACCTTTTAAATAAATAATCAATATGAATATTTGTTAAATTTATCCATTTATTACAGTTTATGATATATATATATAAATCATTAAAATATTCTACTGACTTTCCATTATCAAAAAAACCGCCAAACATAACTAAACAATTTTTCCATAGAATCATTCTATGACCACTTCTTGGGGAAGGCTTTTCGTCTTTTTTATTTTTTGTTTCTATTTCTTCAAATATATTATTTTTTAAGTCAAAACACCAAAAATCATTAAAATGAAAAAATTGAGTATTTGTACATAATTCACCACCAAAAATATATAATTTTTTATTGAAATAAACTGACTGATGAGAACATCTTGGCTTCGGTTTTTTACAAGTTGTAAAATAATATTTCCATTTATTTTTTACTACGTTATATTTAAATAAATCATTATATACTATTAATTCATTATTATCATTATACTCTCCTCCAAATAAAATAAATTCTTCTTCATTAATAAATGTTATAGAACAATTAGATCTAGGACTTGGTTTTTCACATTCCACAAATGTATTATTCGAAGTATTGTTTATATTTATGTGACCATACTTATCTTTTTTATTTAAATTTTCATAATATAAACAAATACTATCAAAATCTTCATCACTTAAAGTCTGTTTTTTTTTTTTTTTTGTTTTTAATGATTTCAATTTCTGCTTTTCTTTTTTTAATTTTATTTTTTCCTTTTTTTCTTTATTCTTCTTATCTTTTTTTCCCATTATATTTTTTCTTCTTTATCTTAGTGAATTTTTTTTTATTTTATTATTAACTTTTATAATATGTAAAATTTATTTCTCCTTGAAATAACTTTTTATTTTATATTATTTTAATTCTTATACAAAATTTTAAAATATTTCCTCTTTTTATATATATAGTGTATCTAAATCTTTTTTGTTTTAATTTTTTCATTATTATATAAAAAGAAGATTATTAAAATTTATTTAAAAACATTTTAAGTGTAAAAATATAACATTTATTTTGTAGAAACTACTTCCATTTTATATAATATTTTTTTTTATCTTTTACTTTTTATTTCTCATATAAAAAAAAAATTTATGTAATAGCAAAAATTATTTTTCTAATATTATTCAATTTTTAAATATAAAATCAAAATACTACGATAGAAATGACCAGTTAATTATAAAGAAGAAGAATCATATATTATATCCTTTTTATTTTTATCAATTTTTGCTTCAAACTTTTTTTATTAACCTGAAACAGTCATTTTTTTTTATTTCATAAAAATATTTAATCATTCATTAAAGGAGAGCATAATTTTTTCTATTTTCTATTATATTTTCAAAATTCTATAAATATTTTATTTTTTATTTGTATACTTCATTTTTCCATTTAACTAAAAATCTTAAATTTTTTAATAGCTATTAAATATTATATGAGAAATATATACTAAAAAGCTGCTACTGCTTTTCTTTTTTTTTTTTTTAATTCTATTTGAAAAGTATTTTACTAAAGAAAATAATATACATTCTTAATTATATATTTTTGAGTAAATGCACAAACTTCAATATTACTTTACAGTAGCTAATTTTTTATATCTACTATTAAAAATAACCCACGTATATATATATAATATACTTTTCACTAATATACTTAAAAGAATGAAAGTTAAATGAATAACTTATTTTATAATACTGTTTAGTAAAGGAGATTAATGAGTTACACAGCTCAGATGCAAGTACATGCAAAAATTTAAACTTCATTAGAAATTAACATGTATATAATTCTTATATTAAAACAAAATTAGTATTACTTCTTAAATTAGAAAAAAAAATAAGATATTACAAAAAGTAAAAGAAATGCTAATTTTTCTTTTAATTTAATTTAAATGAAATTTTACTGAATAACTATCTAAAAATAAATATTTTTAAGATACATCTATATAAAAATAATGAAATAATAATATTTTGGAGACTTAAATTCTTTATTTTGCTATATTTTTATATAAAAATGTAAAACTTCATAGATATTTATGTGCAATTTATCATTTAATATTAAATTTTGAAATTGTATTTTTTTTTTTTTAATTAGATTAGTTTTGCATCAAATATATAAAATTCCAATTTTTTAAAAATAGCTTTTTTTCATTTTTTATTATAATTTTTTTTTTTTTGTTTTTTTTTTTTTTTTTATTTTTTTTTTTTTTTTTTTTTTTTTTTTTTTTTTTATTAAAAAAAAAA